TCTCTTACCTCCCCTCTCTCTCCCTCCCATTCTATCTGAAGATAAATGCAAAAATGTCCTTGGGTAAGGATATAAAAAAATAAATAAATTGGTTTAAAATGCCATTCATGGGAGAGTCTGAAACTGTAATTAGGTTAGTTATTAACTTTTGGTTTGGTGACTAGTTTAGCAAAGGTGACTCCATTTGGGCTTTTTTTTTTTTTTTTTAATTTTTTGAAGAAACTCCATACTGTTTTCCATAATACTAGAACCAATTTACATCCCCCACTACAGTGTACAAAGGTTCCCTTTTCTCCACATCCTCGCCAACACTTACCTTTTGTCTTCTTTTTTATTTTATTTTTGTTACAGATGTTTCCCTTTTTTTTCCCCATTGACACCCTCCTCCCCATCCCTCCTACCCCGTCCCTGGCTGGGATCTTTCTTTTTTTAAATGTATATTTATTTTATTAAAATTTTTTTGGATTTATTTTAGAGAGAGTAGATAGGAGGGAGAAAGAGAGAGAAAGAAACATGGATGTGAGAGACACACATTGATTGGTTACCTCCCGAAGGGCCCAAGAATCAAACCTGCAACCCAGGTGTGTGCCCTTGACTGAATCAAACCTGCAACCCAGGTGTGTGCCCTTGACTGAATCAAACCTGCAACCCAGGTGTGTGCCCTTGACTGAATCAAACCTGCAACCCAGGTGTGTGCCCTTGACTGACTCAAACATGCAACCCAGGTGTGTGCCCTTGACTGAATCAAACCTGCAACCCAGGTGTGTGCCCTTGACTGGAATCAGACCTGTGAACCCGAAATCCCTTGGTCCTCGGGCCAACACTCTAACCGCTGAGCCAAATCGGCCAGGGCTAAATATGTTTTTATTAATTTTAGAGAGAGAGGAAGGGAGAGGAAGATGATCTGCTGCCTCCTACACACCCCCTACTAGGGATTGAACCTGCAACCCTAGCATATGTCCTGTCTGGCAATCAAACCGGTGACCTCTTGGTGCATGGTTCAATGCTCAACCACTGAGCCACGCTGGCTGGGCCTTTCTTTCTTTTTTTTTTTTAACAACAGCCATTTCATTAATTTCTTGTTTGCCTATTTCATTTTTTCTTATCTGTTGTTTGTGTTTGTAATTTCTGATCATGTCTTTTACTTATTTTTCTAGTGTATGTTCACCTTTCATATTGATTTTTAAATGCTCTTTTCATATGATGGGCAGAAAGCTTTGCTTGCTATTTATATATTGCCACTTCCCCTTTTCCTTGGTGTATTGAAATGTATCATTTTTATTAAACCAAATCTGCCTCACCCTCCTTTTTATTTCCATCCTTTGGGGATCACCTTCTCACCATCACCTCCAGGAAGCCTTCTCTGTAGAAGGCTCTTTGCAGCTGATTTTTTCCTTCCCAGGACCCCACAGTAAGAGGGCCTGATTGCCCATCCTGAGTAAGCCCTTGGAGCAAGTCTGTCAGCAGGCTTCTTCCAGGGGTCTGATCTCTAACTGAGATCTCCAACTAAGTTAGTTACAAGGTTGCTTCCTTAAAAATGGGTTCTAGAGCCTAATACCTTGCAATCTGTGCAGGGCATTGAAGAGGAAAAGGCTGCACCTGGCCCTCCTCCCATCACTGTGACCCAAATAAAGTGCCATCATCTCAGTTATTAGCTTTTTTATAAAAATAGAAACTCTGTAAGGGTAAAGATTTCAAAAGTGTGCAAAACCAAGAATGTTTAATGCTGGCAAGGATACTTTAAAGGGCATACTCCCTCTGAATGCTGGTGGGAGCACGAACTGGATCTGTGACACCATTTGCCAATATGTGTCCCAGGCCATGGGGAGGCAGCAGAGGGCAGTTAGCGAGTGTCTGGAGTCAAAGCTGGAGCTGTGCCCTGGCCCTTCCCCATTAGCTTGTGCCACTTTGAGCAAATCAAATTACTTCCTAAAACTCAGTTTCCTCCTCTGTGAAACAGGGGTAAGTCATAGCTCTTGTTAAAATTACAGGGCTTAGTACCATGCATAGAAATGCTGGAAACATGGAAACTGTTACTATTATTAAATCTTAAAGACGTACATTTCTTTTAACCCTGCAGTTCCATTTGTGGTAATCTATTCAAAGGAAATCACTATAGATGTGCACAAATGTTTGACTACTTGGATTTATTTATGGGGGGGGATCATTTATAATAAAAAAATATTTATCACAGCTTAGAAGGTCAACAAGAAAAAGAAGTTAAATAAATTAGAGTTCGTTGATAGAATGGCATCGTACGCAGCCATTAAAACTAATGGTTGTGCCCTGGCTGGCATGGCTCACTGGTTAGAGCACTGGCCTGTGGACCAAAGAGTTGTGGGTTCAATTCCGGTCAAGGGCACGTGGTTCGGTCCCCTGGCCCTGGTCAGGGTGGTATGGGAGGCAACCAGTTGATGTGTCTCTTGTGCATCGATGTTTCTCTCTCTCTCTCTCTCTCTCCCCCTCCCTCCTTCTCTCTTTGAAAACAAGTGGGAAAATATCCTCAGGTGAGGATTAAAAAACAAACAAACAAAAAACTAATGGTTGCCCTGGCTGGTGGTTCAGTTGGTTGGAGCTTTGTCCCAGGCACCGAAAGGTTGGTGAGGGCACACACCTAGGTTGTGGTTCAATCCTGGTCGGGGCACGAGTTCAAGAGGCAGCCCATATATGTTTTGAACATCTCACATCGATGTCTTTCTCTGTTTCTGTTTCTGTCTCTCTCTCTAAAGGTCAATGAAGGCATATCCTCAGGTGAGGACTAAAAAAAAACAAACAAACAAAAAAAGGGACTAAAATGATCTATCTATCTATCTATCTATCTATCTATCTATCTATCTATCTATCTATCTATCTATTTATGGTACATGCCCCTAGCAGGGACCGAACCCAGGACTCTCTGGTCCTCAGGCCGATGCTCAACTGCTGAGCCAAACTGGCCAGGGCAATAGTGGTGATATTTATAATCTTGTTTTAAAAAGATAAAAAATTCTGGTTTGGCTCAGTGATTGGAGTGTTGGCCTGCGGACCAGAGAGTCCTGGGTTTGGTTCCCACTGGGGCACGTACCAAAAAAAAAAGATACAAAATTCTTTACTTTTTAAAATATATTTAAAAATTTTCAATTATAGTTGACATCCATTATTATATTAGTTTCAGGTGTACAGCATAATGGTTAGACATTTATATAACTCACCAAGCGAGCCCTTCCATACATAGAGCAAGTCTGTTGTAATAATAATTATTACGATATTATTGACTATATTCCTCATGCTGTACTTTACATTCTCATGTCTATTTCCTAACTACCAACATGTGCTTCTTAATCTTGCCACCTTTTCCACCCAGTCCCCCAACCCCACTCCCATCTGGCAACCATCCATTTGTTCTCTGTAAAAAGATACAAAACTCTATAAATATGTGTTTCTGAATCTGCTTTAAAATGCAGTTAAGTCCGACTGGTGTGGCTCACTGGTTGAACATCGACCCATGCACCAAGAGGTCGCCGGTTTCGATTCCAGGTCAGGGCACATTCCAGGTTGTGGGCCCGATCCCCAGTGGGGGTCATGCAAGAGGCGGCCAATCGATATTTCTATCTCTCTCTCCATCTCCCTTTTCTCTCTAAAACTCAATAAAGAAAACATTAAAAAACATCTATATATATACAATGCAGTTAAAATACAGAAAAAAAATGATTCATTATGCAATCATTCACTCATTGCTTTTGCAGATATTAATTAAATGCCTATCACGTGCTAGACACTACGCTGGGGCAGGGGAGATGCACTAAACATTTAAGAGTTTCTCTAAGGAGATGGAATTGCAGTTTATCCAACCATCCAGTCAACAAATGTTTATTGAGCATCTACATGCCAATAATGCCAGGGTGCTGGGCATGTACAGTGAACAAAACACAAAAATCTATGCTCTCATGGAGCTGACATTCCAGCAGGGGAGACAACCAGAAAACAATCACTACACATAGCTAATTATCCAGTATGTTAAAAGGTGATTTGAGTAACAGAAAAGAATAAAAAACTGACAAGGCAAGAGATTCACTAACATGTGAGGGGGATGTTTGCTGCTGTATCTACGTTGGGGAGGAACAATTCCACTGATAAGATGACATTTGAATAAAACCCTGAAGGAGGGGAGGGGAGGAGTTACCTGGGGGTTACCTGGGGTCCAGATAGAGGGACCAGCCAATGCAAAGACCTTGAAGTGGGAGAGCACCTGATATTTTTCTGGAAGAGCAAAGTCCTTTAGCCCAGTGGGTGAAATCACAGAAGACGTTGTCCGAGTTTAGTTTATGATTTCTGGTGTGGGTTTTTGCTCTTGTTTTTGTTTTTGTGTGTATGTGTGTATATATATATATAAATTACTTTTAAAAACTTCTTTAAAAGATTAAGGTCAAATAGTGTCTTGGTTCCAGGTACGTAAAGTTCTATGACTCACACCGACAGACTGTCCAAAACTCATTATTTACTGTCTGTAATCCCAAAGCAGCTAGTTCCGCCCCTCCGAGCCTCAGTTTCTTTACCTGTAAAACGGTTATCAGTAATACAGTCGGGTTGTAGTGACTATTCAGCAAGGCAATGAAAATAAAGTCCTTGGCTGGGTGTCTGGAAGAGAGCAAGTGCTTAACAACTGCTCTGGTCATTACTCTTTATAACTGCCTTCCACCCCCTAACTGCTTTCCGGGGCAGGTGGGAATGACTGTTACAGGACAACAGTCATTTCCCCTTTAAGAACTCAAGTGAGCTGGAAGCCAGCCTTCCCGCACCCTTTCCAAATTTCCCAATCCCCACTTGGCATTTTCCGCCCGAAGGTCTCCGATTGGGCAACCTGCACCAATCAGAGGCTTGGACGGGCGCTGCCAGATGCCCAGCTCCGCCCCTGAGCGGGCCCTGCCCCCTGCCCGGTCAGCCCCGTTGCTATGGGGACTGGTGGGCGGCGAAGGGGGAAAGCCCCGGATGTTCGTTGGGGATTCAACATGGCGGCGGCAGTGGCCGCGGTGGCGGCGGCGCAAGAGAGCTGAGGGCGACGCGAGGGCGCGGAGTTCCGGGCCGAGTAGCTAGGCCGCGAGCAACTGCTTCGCCGAGCCGGTAGGATAAGTGGTCTGGTCAAGGGAATGGGGTGGTCTGGGCGGTGGCGGGCGGAGAAGGCTAAAGCAAGTAGGGGGCGGGTCCGCTGGGGTCAAAGTTCACTCGTGGAGGGTAGGGTCACGTCGGGGGGGTCGAGGGTCAAAGTTGAGGGGGGCGAAGATGGTGTAAAGGAGGTCAGAAGTCAAACTAACGAAGGGGGTGTGGCCAAGGGGAGCGCAAAGTTCGAAATTTGAAGTGGGGGCGTGTTAGAGGGGATTGGGACGAGTGTCAAAAAAGGGAGATCACAATTAATAATTTGAGGAGAGGGTGCGCTTCCGGTGGTCAGAGGTCAGCCTTGGGGATGGCGGCTGGGAAGGTAAGGAGCAGCCGGCGGAGCAGATGAATGAGATTGAGATTAGGGGGCATCTTTTCTGGGATCAAAGGTGGGGCGTGGCCAAAAGGGAGGGAGATCAGAATCAGATGGCCGGACAGATCGTGCTCCCAAGGGTCAAAAGTTAAAACCCAAGTGGGACATTGCGGGGGAGGAGGGACAGGACATCCGAGAGAGAGGTCAAAGATGATTCCTGGTGTGGGAGAGGGGAGCCCCTTTCCACAAATAATGAAAATAATAGGGAACACTCATCAAGTGCTATGTGTCAGGCGCTGTTGACTACAACCTCATGGGGTTGGTGCCATTACTGAGAGGCCAAGAGAGCGCCAGGGTCACCTGATGAGGAAGTTGTGCCGCTGGGATTCCAACTCTGGAGTTCTGTGCTCTGTGGCCTCTTAAATAATCACAGCCTTGCTTAATGTTTAATGAGGCTTAACGCCGTACTCCGTGCCTTGTGTGCCTGGTCTTATTATACCACAATCTTGTGAAGTGGGTGCTAAATAGACCCACTTTACAGAGAGAAAAAGTGAGGTTCAGAGAGCCTCTGCTAAGTGACAGAGGCAGATTCCAAGCTGGATCTGAATCCCAGCGCTCCTACCCCTGGTCACTGCATTGTAGATTGCTGAAGCTCTGTTTCTGCAAGCAGAGGGGCTGGGCAAGGCTGGGCCACTCCCTGAGCAGGAAAGGATTGTCTTTTTGGCCTCTGTGGAAGGGTGTGATCTGGGAGGAGAGGTTCCCCTGGGTCTATTGGGATGGGGTGTTTGTGGGTGGCCCAGAGTCCAAGGGTGTCTAATGAGCTTCTGGCTGGGAGGGTGTCCTTGGGTGGTACCCTGTACAAAGTTGTGTGTCCTCTGCACTTAAAACCCCAAATTCTCATCATGGTCCTCAATTGCTCCCACCTCATTTCCTGCTGCTTTCTGGATCCCTCACCTCAATCCAACCACTTTGGCCTTTTTGCTGTCCTTCAACTCTGTAGGCTTACGCCTCCCTCCGGGTCTTTGACCTTCCTGTTCTCTGTGCCTGGAATCCTTTCCCCACCCTGCCCCCTCTCACTCATTTGTCACTCCCTCACAGCCCTCCCAGGACCACCCAGCTCTCCTTGCCCTGAGGCACTCTTTCTTTCACAGTTGTTTTCTCCCCAGCTCTTACTCTGTCCTTACCTTGTTGGTTGTCAGCCTCTCCCACTAGTGTGAGCCCCTCATTGGGCAGGAATTGCTTCATGTTGCTCCTTCGCTGAATCCCCACCTGAAGCACTGCCTGGCTTGCAGAAGATGCTCAGTTGGTGGGGGTTGAATGTTGGATACTGTGCTGGGTTCTGGGACTGCAGCAGTGGACAAGACACATGGAGCCTCTGGCCCTCCGAGGCCTCTCATTGTCCCTTGGTGGGAGCCGACTGGACCTATACCCCTGCTGGTGATATATGGTTACATCTCTGCCAACTGTGACATAATCTGAGAAGGATGTGTTCAGGGAGCCAGGGGAGTGCACAGGCCCTGGGCCCCAACCTGGACTGGGGACTATCCCTGGGCACATCCCCTGGGTAAGATCTGAAGGATGAGTAGGAGGGATGGGAAATGGCAAAGCAGGCAGAAGGAGAAGTCCTGTTTCTGAGTGGAGGTCAGGGGACCGGTACAGAGATGGGGGCTTGTAGGTCACACGTAGCCTGTGTGAGGACCACTGGGGTGCCTATTCTGGGAGGTGTGTCTGTGGAACTGTGAGGTAGTTCTGAGAGCAGACACTGGACCAAGGATGCGGGGTTCATACCCTGCTCCATCACTCACAGGCTGTGTGACCATGGGCAGGTTGCCTAATTTTTCTGGGCCTCAATTTCCTCTTCTGCAAAATGAGCTAATGATAGTGGCTGCCTCACAGAATTGCTGTGAGGATGCACAGTGTACAGTGTGCCCAAGGCCTGGCACACAGTAGATGCTACGTATGCGCTAATCTTGATGCTGCCGCCTCAGAGGTGGTGGAGGTGCCTCTCTCCACCTGCCTCCTGGCTTTCTCTGGCAGCCACCCCACTCCTGGCTCTGGCAGGGTCACTAAGTGGACAGACTCTCCAGGCAGCCTTGTGAGGCCAGCCCAGCCTCAGGTCCTGAGTGCAAGCTCACTCAGCATCTCAGGGCTCAGCACAGGGAAGGAGTGGTGGGCTTGGCCCCGAAGGCACACATTCTGATCCCTGCCCTGCCACTTACCAGCCGTGGACCTTGGGCAAAAGATTTTACATGCCAGTTTTGTTCCTTATGATACTGTTTAGACTATCAAAAAAAAGTAGCCAGTCTTATTTCTTATGATACATTTTAGACTATCAAAACAAGTAGAGTTTTCAATATACTAAACCACCTACATCTCCAGCATCTGGCTTGGGACAGAACACGTAGTGGATGCAGTTAAAGGCTCCGCTTCCCTGCCCACCCATGCCCACCCTACCTGCCGGGGCAGCTTCTGTACTGGAATTGGGTGCATAGCGTTGCTCTGCAGCCTGTCATACTTTTACTGTCCTTGGCTGTATTCACCAATGCTGGAGCAGTAGCTCTCAATCCTGGCTGCACATTGTTACGTATTGCAGTCACCTAGAAAGCTTTCTAGAACGTTGTTGCCCAGGCCTTCCGCAGAGATTCTGGCCTGGCTCCTTGGCCTGGGGTGGGGCCAGTGGCAGTACGAGGTTCTCGGCCTGCCAGGGTTGGCCACCACCATTTTCCAAGTCATGTAAATGGGATCACGATAAGCAATTTGCTTCTTCTGCTGAACATTAAGAAACATTTGGCTATTTCTCTGTCTGGATGTGTGTAGGTCTGGGGCTGTCATTCGTTTTCCTTGCTGTCGAGTGTTTCTTTTTGTGATTTTTACCACACAGGAGTTATCCATTCACCTTTCAGTGGCCATTTAAGTGGTTTCCCATCGGGACTGTAACAAACGGCACTGCAGTGAACCTTCTAGCAGGTGTGTCCTTGTATGCTATGCAGGCCAGAGTCTCTCTCGGGCAGATGTCTTGCTGGCTTTCCTAATTGCTTTCCTCAGTGCTTGTACCACTGTTCCTCCGAACAGGGCTCGAGGGTTCCCTTCGTTCCACATCCTGCTTCGGGCAGGTTTGTGGCCTTTGCCGAAATGACTTAGCCAGGAGATGGTAGGTTTTATGGCCTCCCAGACTGGTGGGGAACAGCTGGAGAGATGGTTCCCGGGACAGGCTTCGGTGGGGCCTGGCGCACCACTGAGCCTTCTAGGGCCTCCAGGACAGTGACTGCAACTTTAACCTAACTCTGCTTGGGGGCTTCTCCCAGGGCTGACAGTTGGGGAAGGAAACTATATTGACTTGAACCTCCTCAGAAAGGAGGCAGGAGGAATGAGGAGAAGCTTAGAAAGGGAAGGGCAGCCTTGCTACGCTCGTGTGTCTGACCACTGGCCGCAGGGCTGACCAGCACAGCCACTGGCCCCATCCCTCTTTCCCTGGCCTATTGCATTACAGTACAGGGAGGGAGACCGACTTGTCCTTAGGCACTGACAGCCCAGAGTGCTCAGGGCTGGGGTAGGGAGGCACAAAGATGGAGGAATCCAGAGGAGGTGCCTGGCCCAGCCTGGGGAGTCATGGACTTTCTGGAAGAAACATCTGATCGATGAGGGTGAGTCAGGCCTAGAAAGAAGGTGCAAAGAATAGGAAAGGCAGTGAGTAGTGAAAGTGCAAGGACCCTGAGGTCCAAATTAGTTTGGGATGGTCAGGTACCAGCAAGGCGGCCAGTGTGGCAGAGCAGGCAGTAAAGTTGGGGGGTGGCGGGTAGAGCAGGGGATTTCAGGCTGAGGGGAGGATGGATTTCACTCTGTGTGTCACTGGGAGCCATCGGAAGGTTTTAAGCAATGTTTGGTTTCCTTGTATAAAGATTGCTCAGGCTGCCATGTGGGGAACAGATCACAGAGGGCAGCGGCAGGGAGACCCGAGGGGAGGCTGCTGTGATCGTCCAACAGAAGAAGGTGGACGGGACGAGGATGGCAGTGGTCGGGGAGGGGCCTGTGTGCTGGCCAAGATCATGAGTACTTTACCCACATTAACTCATGTGATCTTCACAACAACCTATAAGGTAGGTACTGTTATCATCCCCATTTTAGAGATGAGGAAACTGAGACCTGGAGAGGTACATGACTTGTCTAAGGTCACACAGCAGGCAAGTGGCAGAGGCAGAACTTGAACTCCACACCTTCAGTCTCCAGAGTCACTGCTTGTTGCAGTTACCGCCAGTGATTTGGAAGTGGTTTTCATAAGACAAGGCCACTTCCTGTCCAGTTGGTTCTTACCCAGGCTGCTCTTTATTTATTTATTTATTTTTATCCTCACCCGAGGACATTTTTCCATTTTTTGTTCAGGTAGAGTGGGAGGGAGAGAGAGAGGAACAGAGAGAGGGAGAGAAACATCGATGTGAAAGGGACATATCGAGTGGCTGCCACCCACACAACCGACCAGGGCCGGGGACAAACTGCAACCGAGGTACGCGCCCTTAGCGGGAACCGAACCCGGGTCTCTCAGGACCGTAGGCCGACACTCTAACCGCTGAGCCAAACTGGCCAGGGCCCAGGCTGCTCTTTAGATGAAATCTCCTTAGGGGCCCGTTCAACCTGCGTAGTTTCTGGACACTGGGTC